GTGAGATCATAATTTCAATTATTTTGCTACATGAAAATAATTTATATTTATACTTAACAAAAATAAACATGAATACTACATATCACAAATACTGCATTTAAGGGATTACAACCTCGGCACTTAATCCAGACAGATTAAAAACAATCTAGGAACAGGTTCTGCACCAAAAAGGTCATGTAGCTTCAGTTCATGCTCTTTCAAATGATGTTCTCAATATCTCATCTAATAACTACTGTTCACCTGTGCCATTAAGTGCTAAGTCATCTGTCATTCAAGAGAACTGCAATATAAATAAATCATCTTCAGAGACAGTGCAAGGAAACAGGACTGGTAAATACATACATACATACACACACACATACATAACACATACATACATGCATGCATGCATACTTACATACATACATATGTATGTATATACATACATACATATCTATCCAGTAAACTATGTACTAATCTACATAGTGTTTTTCAGAAAAACAAATGACTTGGTTTACGTATCAGCCAGCAACAGCTGATCCATTAAATTTTATTTTAAATGTAGGAATATGATAGCTAAGCAAGATTAATTAGTTCAAAGCAAAATATAGTTTCTGTAATTACTTCCTATCTCTTTACTAGAAGTGGCTCTAAGTTTATCTGTACAGGGAAGCAATTATATGGAATGCATATGTTTTATTTTGGATTTTGTGAGAGGGAAGAAGAAGATAGAAGAAAGATGCATTGGTTATCACTTATTAAGGAAGCATTAAGGATTTTGTGTGTGTATGTGCGTGTGTAGGCTAGCCCATTTTTAGATCTTTTGTTTGCCTTCACATATTCATTTTCCAAAATTCCACAAAGATGGGCAGAGTGAAAAGGAAAAGCAGCATTAAATAATCAATTGATGCCAATGCTTAATGGTTTAGATAAAGTATTTATGTATAATGGCATTCACATATATAAACACAGATATAAATATTCAAATTATTACAAAATATTGTTTTATAAAATTAGGGGGGAAAGACGGCTTTACTGCTTTTAGTTAATACTAACAAGAAAAAATGTCTCAGTTCTTTCAAATTCTGGACTCCTGTCTTAAAATTTATATAAAGTTATATAAAAAAAATGAAATAACCAGTACAAATTCTTTTCTAGATCATACTCTTATAGCAATTTATAAAGCTAGATATTTCACAGTCTCAGCCTCAACTGAAAGCATGAAAAACAGAATCTCAGCAAGCCCTAATTATCACAAGAATCGTTCTGCTTCAGGTTTTTTATTATACCTATAAATCTTGATATGTGAAATAAAAAAAGATTTTCTCACAAATCAGCATTTTCTTCTTTGTTCAATAAAAACTTCTAAAACATTTCAAAGTTATTCAATAGACTTCAGGGATGCTGTTCCATGTTTATTTGATTGCTGGCCATTTGCATTACTGTTAAGTTTTGGTCTTTCCTCTACTCTTAAAAAAAGCCTAATTTATTCCTTATTATAAATAACACAACAGTATTATATTCAGTACTAGAATTTGGGCAATGCCTGAAATAAAATAAATTCCAATTATAAGAGTCAGAAACTGTGAAAAAGAAATCTCCACTCATTTTGTAAAACACCCACAAGTAAATAGAATCTTATTTCTCTAAATGTTTTGTACCATTAGATATTTTAATTCCTAAAAAAACCACAAGGTTTGATGAAGATATGAAAGCATCTTGTGTTAATAGTTAAATAGTATTTTATAGGATCACCTTTTATAAATATTTTTTTATACAGTAGGATTTCAGTATTTACACTTCAGCCNAGTAAATCATGTTGTCTCTGTTTTAGACATTCCATAATAAATTAAGAACACATGCAAAAATAATTTAAACTCACAAGGGACAATTCAACCAACATTAAGCACCTCAAAGCCCCACTGAAGCAAATTTAAGCAAACCTATAACTTATCTATTTCAATTAATGGAGCTGCAAAGTATTCAGCTATTACATCGTTTATATAAAGCTAACAGTTCTATCTTATTCCACACAGCGGAAAGAAAGAGATGTCTAATTTATCTGAATTGATTTAGTCATTGATCAAAATGTCTAAAGGGATTTTGGTGATGCCTTTGGCAAGCCTAGTTGTTGTCTCTTTGCTAACTAGTAAGCTAGCCTAACTACTAAGCCAGTCTATATGCATCAAAATTCAGGCTGGCAACCATTCAGAATTTGACAACTTCAGGCCATCAGAAACCCAAATACTCTGACATAAAGCTATCTATGCAAACAGATCACACCAATAACATGCTACTGGTGATGTAGAGATGGATGCATTTTTGTGCAGTGAGCCTATAAGCCTCCTTTCAGTTGTTAACAATATAGTTCTCTTTGTTCTATGTGCTGTAAAATATGACGACTTACCTGCTTGGCCAGTGGTAACGGTAACAGCTGCAAAAAGCCTCTGGGAACGGCTTAAGTCGGAGACACCATTTAAAGCTTCAACTTCAAAAGTATAGTTAGCATGAGCCAACAGGTCCATGACGGTGACATAGTTGTCTACTAATCCAGTTTGCTGGGGCATATATCCAACATTGCTCCCACAGGGAACACATTCACCCTGTTCCCAGCTGCACCTCTTGCATAATACCCTGTAGGTCACGTCATTTCTTCCTCCATTATCAGCAGGAGGGCTCCACTCCAAACTCACAGTAGTTTGGTTAATATTGAAAATAAGGTTCTGTGGTGCAGATGGCGGCCCTTTGTTAAATACAAACACAAAACAGGGATTGGGGGAGGGGGACAGAGATTGAAAGAAAAATCAGCAGGGAAAATTTAGCTCTGTTTTAATTACCCAAGCTAAAGCTCACCAGGCTTTAAACTTTTCATTTTATCTACCACACACTACCGAAAATTCCTACTTGAATTCAATTGACAAGAAGCCATATTTATTTTCCACTAAGGAAACAAAGGCAAGGCACTTTCTATGTATTTACTGCAGGCCTTTTGCAGCTTTTCTTGTCTGAAATTAAAGGGTAAGTTAATGTGCCTCTGAAGCTGACTCAATGAGAGTTCCTCAAAATGAATTTGCTCCTTTCAAAATGCTTAAGTTGGAATAAATGTAAGTACTTTAAAAAAAAATCTTCTGTAATGTGATTTACAAAAACATGGGGTACAGTTTCCTTTTTGAGAGGTCTGCAAATATTCATTAATTGAGCCACCAATGGCTTATTTTTCTTCTCAGAAATTCTTAATTTGATGTTGTGCCACCTTGGATATATCATGCTGAAAATATCTATGAGAATCATATTCTCCTTCTTTCAGTTACGTGTTTATTCAGCGTCTGCTTCAGGTTATGCTGAAAAATGCAGCCGTTAAATTTATTGGATTCTACATTGTTTCTTTCTAATTTTCTCCCCCTTTTGCTATTTTGCAAAACACATTTGAAAATGCTTCTACAGTTGCTTTGTGTCCTAACCAGAACTAAATGGGAGAATGGGAAATCAATGATTGTGATTGGCTAAGCAATAGGAAGCAACTCAAGAATAACTCACTTGTGCATGCAACATATGGTGGGTCAGTAGGTGCTCTGTAATAGCTGTCTTCACAATCACATCGCGAAGATCCTTCCCTGTCTGAAAAACTGTGCATTGGGCAGCGGGAGCACTGCAAATCTTGTGAAGATGACTTATAGAATCCACGTCCACAGGCTAAGAAAGAAGGAAACAAAACAGGTATCATTTTAAATATAACTTCTTTTAAACACACCTCAGTATCAGGTACAGAGAAAACATATGATATATGCTCTTAATGAAGACATTCACATTTTTGTCTGAAACTGGAATTCTATTATTTTACAGCTACCAGGCTGCAAAAATCTGGATTCCAAAAGATGGCCTTAAAATGATAGGACTTTCTATATCACTTTCTTATCATCCAGTGTTCATTCAGACTTTTGCAGCCCAGATTTATAGGTTTACTTGTTCTAAAGCCAGTTTCCAAATGAACTTGTTGAGCTAAATGAATTTGTTTTATTTAATAAATTTATATCCAGTCGCACGACTCTGGATAAACAATACGTTTTTCTGTCATCAAAAACCTGTTTCCATATAATATAGATTATTAATTCTGGTTGTTTCACACATTTGTTGTGAGGATTTCCAAAATATTGTACTTGAAGACCTTATGCAATTTTCAAAAGCAGAATATGAAATTTTTCAGCATTTTCTATTAGCTTATATCCAACCTGAGATGACATGAATTTTAATATCAACTCTTCATTGCTATTGTATGACCCTCACAATTCCATAAGCACAGAAATATTTTTCAAAAAAGATTGTATTCCTGTAACCATTCTTTACATATTATCTTTATGCTAGCAATGATCTTATCTTCTGAGATGTGAGTCTCATCCCTTCTCCCATAGTAAAAGAAATATTCATTTTAGAATCACCTGCAGTTTGTTCAGTTGGCAGAAAGAAACCAACAATAATAAGCAACTACTGTGAAAATATTTGGAGGGACACGCTGCAAGCGAACAGTCTTTGGAAAACTCAGGCTGGCTGCTAGGAGGAATCTTTCCCAGTATTCTGGGCATGTACTTTATATGCATGCACAAAAGACAAATCCACTGAGACTGTTACTTAAGCAATACTCCAGGTAGAGGGTTCAGAGCAGCTCTTTGTTCATAGAGAATAAAACAATCATGTATTAGTTTAAATATGTGTCCCTCATAATAATATTAATGGCCAACTAAGTTATCAAAGTAATGGATTCATGCTTAAACTTAATCTGTTAAAACAGGCCATCAACAAAACAATTATTTTCAAATTAGGAGGCAAGTGCAAGAAAAAAGCATTGGCCATGCCAGTTTTTAGCTTCTTGTAGTAGTCACTATCACCACAACTGTAGTTGCTATCACTTCAACGGTACAAGGATAACAGTATGCTTTTTGTGGCATTTAATATACAATTATTTGTTTGTAGGTCTGATGTGGGATATTTGCCAAGCTTCAGGAAATATGACTAGCTACTATACAATAACCACCTCACCGTAAAATGTTTCATTCATTCATCCATCCATCCATCTATCAATGTGTCCATTCATTCACCTTATACATTCACTTATCTCAAATTCATGTCTCTGGAAAGCTAACAACAGTAAAGAAAATCATTACAACACACAACACATAAGAAATCAGCATAACTATTACACAACCTAGATCTCTAAGCTAAATTGGTATGGAAGACATATTTTACTGGACAGTGCAGAAAAAAGACCCCAAAATCCACGAGAATCAGTCACACTAATAATTTCAACTAAACAATCCTCCATATACTTCTTTGAAAGGACAATAGGGTTTAAAAGCTATGTGTGCTTCCATCAAAAAGTTACACTGAATGCAAAAGTATGCATAGAACTTTTAATGGTTCTTCAGCAACAGTGTGAATGAAATTTTCAAATAGAACTATCTTCTGGCTGCACACTAGCAAAATATTTGCTATCACCTGCCAAGTATTTCTCAGATATGTTTTTCTCTTTCCAGAGAATAATACTGGAACTGTCATATATATATTCATAATGTCTATCAAAATTGACTCATTCACTATTGTTTACCCAATAGAGAAATGTCTCTTCCTGAAAAAGGTTTTGCTTTAGTTTTACATTTTAAAATGATGACTTGTAAATATCATAGTTTAATACATCAATTCTTTCATTATTCCCATCCCCCCACTCTCTGTGGGTGTTTCCCATATCCAATCAATTTTACTGACTATTACCTTTTTGCGCAAACACATCAAATCGACATAGGTACATTCAAATCATCAAGTGATGACAAAGTTAATATATATGCAAATCTCCACTATGGCAAACAGCTCACAAAAGTCTATGGCATAACTAAATTAAATTGGCAGCACAATCCTATAGATGTCAGTTCAGAAGGTCTATTACATTCACTGGTTCTTGCTTCTAAGTAAGCAGATTAACAACGCAATTTTAATTTAAAGACATGATGAGTGAAAAGCTTAGAATGAAAATAAATGTTAAGTCACATCTACTAAGAGAAAGCACTTAGGACACCAGAACCTTGTCTGCAAAATGGTCTATTGTTCAAAATATGCCAGTCAAGGAATGAAAAGAGCAGAAGGGGAGGATAAATGAGAAGTCAGATTATATCTCATACCAGCTGCCATTCACAAAACCATCAGAATCTTAAGCCAGGAAGAAAAGACCTTAACATTTCCCAGCACTTTTAATATAAGAGGAGCTCAGAAACAAAACTGGAGGGGGGGGATTTGTTTACTAATTCAAATCATGTCTATTCTGAAACAGTTGAGGTTAGCATAAATTCAGTTAAATCAAGAATTTGTTTGCTTGCTTAAGACTGGGTCATCAAACTCAATTCTTAACATTATCATTTTTTATAAACCAATGCGAAACAGTTGTTTATACATGTAGGAAATATGCATTAAAAATAGCTTATGTTACAATTGTCTACATTTCATGGCTTCTACGAGCCATTGTCAATTGCAGATATTTTGTCATCAGTTTTAGAGAAACTGATGGGCTGATCATTAATAATACTGTGGTAGTGTATGTACTTTGGTTCTATTACCTATTTCAAGTCATTATTACTTGTTGTTACTTGGTTATTTTTCATGATTGCTATATAATTTACTTATAATTTTGTTATATTGCTTTTAATCTGTTTTTAAGTATTGTCAGCTATCCAGACATGTAATACAGGTGAGAGTCCATTTAAATTCAATACATGTGTAAATAGTATGGATACAATCTCCTGTTTCTGAAAACAAGTGAAGACTCTAATGATAGGTGCTAATAGTTCCATATGCCATTCAGCATAAAGTGGGACAGTGAAATATTATATATAAGATACATCTGATTTTGGAATCTGGACAGTCATAGCTTAATTCTATACCTAAATGGAAATCTATTAGTCAAGATGGAACTCCCCCCACATGCAAACACAAAATTTGGGGGAAATTGAAATAGCAGTATTTCACGGTAGACAAAGTGAACAAATAAATGAACTCAAAAGTGATTCCTAAAAGATTAAACAAAGTGTATATACTATTGAAAATAATAGAGCTAAATTGTAAAATGTTGACATCTGATATAAATCACCAAATATGGAAAACACTAAAGTAAAATGATATTTTAAAAGACTTTGTTGAAATATGTTTGAATAGGTCTGGCTAATAATGGGTTTGAAAGGCAACTGGACCAGCATCGAAACTTGTGTCAAAGGTTATTTACATATCGGGAAAATAACTTATATTAGTCCTTTAACAAAAATGTTAAGAACCAAGTATAAATGTAAAACTATGAAAAAAATCATTTAAAAAACATAATAGTAGTTTGTATGGGAAAGAGTGAATATGTGTGTGGGTGGAAAGAGAGAGAGGAGGAGGGAGAGAGGGAGGGGGAGAGAGAATGAGCGTGTTTAAAGACATTCTGGGATGAAATAACTCTATAGTACCATAGGACAGAGGTTAAATCAAACTTGAACAGAAGGAGATTCTTCATGGTTGAGTTAAAAAAAAATGTTATCTGTGTGACAGGTTTATTTGCTGGAAATTTTTTCTTGGAGGGGCTACTAACAGAAATCCATAGCTGTGAGATTCCAAGTAGTAAAGCAAGAGTCACAGCACTGTGAAATGAAGCTGTCTCTATTAATTGCATACCCTGATCATCAGTGTAGGGTCTCAGCTCAGCTGATAGTTTGTCAAATCTGCCTGGCTGAACTTGAGGATTTGGCAATGTCACTTACCACTAAGTATAACTTTGGGGGAGGGGGACATGGCAAAAGCACCCATCTGAAATGAAAAAGCACTCGCAGAGGAAAAACAGATGACACATTGTGAAGACAAGAGAATCACAGATGGAGTCCAGGTGGAACAAGGTTTACATTTGGTTTACTTTCATAGTTAAACAAGGCCTACCTAGCAGGTTAGAACATCCTGAAAGAAAATGTATTGGTGATTTGTGTGAAAACAAAACTTTTTATGTTGGAGAAAGGCTCCTGTATAAATAACAAAAAAAAAATTGTAATGTCTTGTTTTTAAAAACAATGAAGCCCTAAACTTTGCAATGTATTCATAAAACATTTTAGCATATGATTAAGGTGCTTAACAAATGTTCACAGGGTTCTAATGTTACAGGGTTCTATATTCCATTTTGATAAAAATAAAATTATAATCACTATCAGACATTTAGATTTCCCCATTTTAGGTAACAGCCTATGCAAATTCAGAAAGAAAGCATCATTTTTCAATAACTGTGTCATTAGCAGCCTTAGAAACTGTTCCTAATTGTATCTGTCAGCAGCATGTACATGAACAAAACCACATTATTTAAATAATAACTTTGAAAAAGTGAAGGAGGCTTCATAGAGATTTCTGAGAGCAGCTTTTGAAGCAGTTCTATAATCCTAGAAACATTTTGGCTGCTTGAATAGGCTCATATATGTTCTTGATTACCATTTCAGAAGGAACTAAAGATATATAGTCTTATTAACCAATAAAAAATAGCTTATTTTTTTAAAAAAATAATAATGTTACAATCAAAAATTAGTTAAAACAGAACAATTGGAGGTAGATTCATTGAATGGATGGAAAGTGTAGTTTAGATTGTGTTTGCAAAGCACACACAGTAAGATCTCACTTATTTCTAGTCAGTATCTTCTCTA